ACATATAACACAATTATTTGAAAAAATAATATAATTTTCGTTCTAAACAATCTTATACCAAACACGATCTGTACAAATAAATTATCAAATACTATTTTATTTTTCCAAAATCATAAAGAAAAAATAGTTGGAAAATAAATTTGAAAGTAATTATCTTTTTTTTTTAAATATTATACAAAAATTGTAAAAGAGTGTTTAATGTTAATTTTCTTTCATTCAAATCATAATTAAAAAGACAATAACCAAAAAAGAACTATACTTAATCATATATTAACAAGATTTTTGAAAAAAAGTAATAGTAATTTTCGTTTTTACAAATCCTATACAAAATTTTTAGGTAAAAAAGTTATTTAAAACTAATTTTTCTTTTCTAAAATCATAAAGAAAATATTAATGTAAAAAAAATTGATAGTAATTATCCTTTTAAAAAATTAAATCAGAAAATTTTAAAAGAGTGTTTAATGTTAATTTTTCTTTATTCAAATCCTAATTAAAAAAAATCATAAACCAAAGGGAGTTACAATTATTCATATATATATAAGACTAAGCTCACTCATATTTTGCCATTTCTCATATTTGATCACCAAACATAATTATTGATTAAAAAATATATTAAGTGAGTTTTTTTGCATGATCTTTCACATTTTCACGTGTTATTTTTTTTTAGTTATGATACTGTACAACATAAGTTAACGTAGGTATTATGCTCATATGTGTTTGTTTGTATTGACTGTTTGTATTGACCATCTGAAATTGGTTATGTTAGGTAAGTTAATGGCAATGCCAATTTACTACTTTAATACATTTATTTATGTTTATGTGTGTTCATTCTATTTACTATTTCTAACTGATATCATAATTCAATTTGCTACTAGGAATCTTATTAAGAAATAATAGCTTCATGAAGTTATTTAACACTAGATCAACATCTTTACCATCGTACTGTAGTATGTCTTACTACAAACTCGAAGCAAGAAATTTAAAAAAGAATAATGAGTTTATAGGAATGAATTTTATCATACTTGATAAAGGTAAATATTTTATTTATTTTAAAATCTTATATAATTTCATTATTAAAAATAATTTGTATATTGTTTAGGAAAATACTATTCAAGGTTATGTGCATTATTATTTTATTGAAAATTTGGGACATGGGTTACGTGAAGGAATCTTATTGAAATCTGCAATTTTAATTTGTAAAATTACAATAAAAACTACGAACTCTCAGATTATAAATTTCAGATAAGATTAATCAAAAGAACAACAAATACATGTGTGGAGAAACAATTACCTCAAATACTTCCTGGAAATTTTCTTTTCGGAACTGTGAAGATTTTGCTCAACTGAAAGATTTCATATAAGTTATATGGTAATATTCATAATTCTATATCAATTTTTTTGTATCAATTTGGATGTCGAACATTGTATATTTTTATCAGTTGATTGGGTATTTGTAATGCCTTTTTCTTGAAGTAACATTATTGTATAACACAATTTTGTTACGGATGTAATCAGATATATAAATAATATGGAGTAAATAGATGTTCGTAATAAAGTACCACATGTCCTTTGAAAAGTTATTCTAATTTTATTGTTAGGAAGATATATTTTTTTTTAATTCCAATTCTATTAATGAGTTTGTAGCTATAAAATAAATCTCACATAACTTATGCAGAAAGTAATTCTAAATCTATAATTAAATTATTTATTATTTTTATGTTCTTTTAAATTAACACATCCGTTGCAACGCACGGCCCTTATCTAATATATATATAACTAGGTGATTTGCCCACCCATGTGGGCCTAACTTTCTTACCAATAGTTATTATTTTATTTTTATTAATTCAAAAACAACATAATCAATTTTGATTTATGTTTTTAAATAAATTATAAATAACAAAACTCACACGACATAATAATAGTTTGCGTACATAATTTTCTTATGAATATTTTTATTTTATTTTTATTAATTCAGTAAGAACATAATAAATTTTGATTTATGTTTTTAAATTAATTATAAATGAAAAAAATAAAATAAACATAATATTTTAGAATATATGCTTATACAAAGGTTTTGTTTGGTTTATATTAATTATAATTTTTTATATCTATTTGTTTCTATAATAGAAAAAAATATATTTTCAAGATAAAAATATAATACATCAGAGGTATCTTATCTTCAAAAAATATAATATTAATAATAGAAATTCTTTTTTTAATATATAGTAAATTACATGTAAAATTATTAAAAACATAACAAATAAGCAAAATTATATAAATTATGGAGAAGTTAGAAATTATCAAATTTCACTTAAATTTTATAATTTAAAATATATTTTCAAAATAAGAATCCAATACATCAGATTTATCTTAAAAGTTAATATTATTAATATAAATTCATGTTATTATATAATAAATTATATATTAAAGTATTAAAACATGAAAAATAATCAAAATTATCGAAAATAATAGAAAAGCTGAAAAATATTGATTTATATTTAGTTATAATTTTATATGTCTTAGTATTGAATTTCTATAATAGAAAATTTATTTTCAAAATAACAATATAATACATCAAAATTATCTTATTTTTAAACCTATAATATTACTAATATAAATTCATTTTGTTAATAAATTATTTTGAAACTATTGAAAATATGATAAATAAGTAAAATTACCTGAATCACAGAAACATTACAAATCAATCAGCAGATTTTCATTTTATTATATAATAAATTATATATTAAACTATTAAAACATGAAAAAAATAATCAAAATTATCTAAAATAATAGAAAAGTTGAAAAATATTGATTTATATTTAGTTATAATTTTTTATGTCTTAGTATTGAATTTCTATTGTATAAAATTTATTTTCAAAATAACAATATAATACATAAAAATTATCTTATTTTTAAACATATAATATTACTAATATGAATTCATTTTGTTAATAAATTATTTTGAAACTATTGAAAGTATGATAAATAAGTAAAATTACCTGACAGAAACGTTACAAATCAATCAACAGATTTACTTAAGTTTATAATAGAAAATATGTTTAAGAGAATAATCTAATACAAAAGAATTAACTTATTTTCTAAACTATACTATTATTAATATAAAATTTCTTTTATTATATAATAAATTATATATAAAAATATTAAAATATGAAAAAATAAGCAAAATTATCAAAATCATAGAGAAGTTACATATCATAAAATTCATTTAAATTTTATAATAGAAAATATATTTTCAAGATTACAATCTAATACATAAGATTTACCCTATTTTCTAATAAAATAATAATATAATATAAAATCATTTTTATATAAATTATATATAAAAATATTAAAACATGACAAATAAGAAAAATTATCAAAAATAATTGAAAATATGACAAATCAACATTGATTGATTTATATTTAATTATAATTTATTTAATTTCTATAATATAAAATATATTTTCAACATAACAATCTAGTACAGAAGAATTAACTTATTTGTTAAACTATAATATTATTAATTTAATTTCGTTTTTAATATATAATAAATTATATTAAATTATCAAAACATGACAAGTATTCAAATTACCTAAAATCAAGCAAAATTTTCTAAAATTATGGAGACTTTTAATTATAATTTATTTAATTTCTATAATAGAAAATATATTTTCAACATAACAATCTAGTACAAAAGAATTAACTTATTTTTTAAACTATAATATTTTTAATAAAATTTCGGTTTTATTATATAATAAATTATATTAAATTATTTGAAAACATGACAAGTATTCAAATTATCTAAATCAAGCAAAATTACCTAAAATTATGGAGAAAATGACAACTAAGCAAATTTACTTCTCAAATAATGTTATAGATTCCCACTAATAAATTACTATTAAGCCAAAAATTGATTATATATTCAAGAAAAAGCGTCTCTGAAAATTTAAAAGAAAAAGTGAAACATGTGATGTGATGATCAGGTAAGGGCATGACTAAAAAAAATCAATACAACATGTCTTTGGAATATTCATTTGTCCATACTCCAACCCCGAGAGCATCGCAGTTTCACTAGCACCGATCTCTAATCTCTTGTCGCAGCAAAAACAAAAGGCATTATGCGAATCCACGAGTATATAAGTTCCACTTGGTTTGCCCGTGGCAATATTAACTTTATTATTTATGATACTGAAAATTTTCTTATACATTCGAATGATATGATTAGTTTTCAGTTTTTCATTTGTGCTATAACAACTCACAAAAGCACACCTTTGGATTTGAATCCGGATTTATTATTGTGGTAATACTTCTACAAACCAATAGGTTATATGCTCTCAAGTCATGATTGGATCACTTTGTAGACACAATATAAGGTATTTTCTTTCGGGTAAATGCATGGCCTTAGAAAGTAGTGGGATGCAAACTTATGTGATGTAAGATAAAGAGAGCGTGAAGATCAAATCTTTAAAATTTGGTCCACAGCTTAGTGGAAAGCCTTTAACTTCTCAGCACGCAATTGAACCATTGTGGATTTGTCGGTTTAGTTCCCACTATATTGTGGAATTGCAAGAACGATCGACAGTGACTACACTGGTTAGTCTTGAAAGAACTCATTCAATCATAATCTTCTTTCTATCTTGGGATCCAACAAAGAAACTGAAGCGAAAACACTTTTGAATTTGACCCTTACTCGAAAAAGATGTCTCTAATGATTGTTATTATCTCGAAAAAGGATAGATTTAGACCTCAGAATATTGGCTCTGCATATTAAAGTGGAGTGTAGAAGACTCATGAATGGGCATATTGTAGTGAAATGCAGAAAACGACAACGTATGATTAGTGTTATCATATTCCACAATGCAAGAATTGAATTATAGAGAAGAAAGTATGAAAATCATCCCTAATGATTTATTCAACAAAAGGAAGAGAATTTGAGTGCAAAACAACATGGAGATTTCCAGTTCTTTCTTTTGTCCGAGCATATTCAAAAGGGAGAAATCTCATTCTTCAATTGGCCTTTGACCCAACACAGAGATGTCTTCATACCGTTTCTGCACCATGACAACAACACCATGTTATGAATGTAAGGCATGTGAGGCAAGAGAATGATCATGAAAATTATTAAACTACCAAACAAAAACCATAGAGAAATAAAATATCTGCATGGACTTGAGAGCTAAAAACAAAAACCAGCCATCAACTAGCTAGTTTAAATTACTCTGAGATAAATAAGCACAACATAGTAGAGGTTGGAGAAGGATAATTATACTTATGATTGTAAAAACTGAAACAAAAGAGATATGATCATGATTCATGAAGTTTATTGTCGAATTACCAAAGCAAAAAAACAAAAAAGAGGAGAGAGATAACTACATGCATCGACTTAAGCCAAGAAGAGAAACCAGGAATCACACTGAGCTAGTTTATATAATTACTCCTAGACTCTAAAAGCAAAAGAACAACACTGCTGAACATTCTGTTAAATCGAAAAAACAGCATAGATAGATAGAGATAAAAAACGTAACATACCCCAACATTCTTGCTTTCCCAGAGCTTATGAACACCGTAATCCACAGCCTGCACACATACACGTAAACATTTCATATAAATATCATGTCATATAAAACGTAACATACCCCAATATAATTGCAAAACCACGGATCTAAAACAACCAATTTCTCAGTAAAATCAACAATCTTTAGTTCTCTATTATAGACCCCAAAAATGTCATTTTTACAGCAAAATTCCCGGTTTTGATCCAAACCCAAAACAGATCTGGAGATATACAAACGCTAAGGATATGTTTAAAAAAAAACGAAGGTTTAGATCTCTGACCCGTTCGCCGAAGAAAGCGCCGGCGATGATGAAGGAGACGTAGACTGAGTTACGGCGCATGATAAGTCTGTAGAATCCCTCGAGAGCGCCTTTCTGATTGGCCATGATTAAACCCTTTTGTTTGATTCTGGCAATCCCACCTGAACTCTTTCTTACGTTTTGTTTCTCGATTAGGGTTGAGAAAAGCTGATCTACAACAATGGCGGAGAGGTTTTCGCGATTAATCAGAAAATAATCTCATCCGTGTCTGGAAAGGCTTAGTGGGCCTTAATAAATTTGTTGGCTCAATAGTTGGCCCAATATCTCGTTTATTTTCTTTTTGACATTGGCCTCATACGTTCTACAAAATCTTTATCTATTCAGTTTCTTAGAATCATGTAGATTCAAAGTTTTGGGATATCTATATTATTAAATCTGAAGTTATCTTTTGATATTGTTTGGAAACATGAGTAACAGTACAAATATATTTTAAAGCATAAATAAAAATGTCATTTTAGTACTTCTTTTTTATTTACATACTAGTGGTCGGTCCGTCCTACGGGTAAGATATGATGTATTTGTTATTTGAGTTAAACTATTTGTCATAGTTATTGTTGTTTGTTTGATAGGTTATCATTTGAATTAATGCGTGAATGTTTTTTTAAGTTTATAAAATTATGACCATGAAAATAGATTGGCAAAAGACTATTGGAATATAAATTTGATGTGTTATCAATGAGATTGTATCATCATGAGGTGAATTGCTTTATAGAATATTGATCAACTTAAATAGTGCATATTAAAAGACAACTCGAGATAGAGAAGCAGTGGTCGGCTTGACCCGATTACTTATTTGGCCAATTACTTGTTTCAGTTCATATAGCAATACAAACTTTATTGATACTAGATCCTTTTTCCGCGCTACGCGCGGATAAGATATTTAAATTTGTTACATTTGTCATTTCTATTTGTATGTGGAATTTTGTATATTAATTTTTTTAACTTAAATTTAAACTTGTTTTTTTATATTTTTAGTTTGAAGTAAGTATTTGAATATAATTCATTAGTGGTAATTGATTATTTAGTTATATAATTATCT